TAAAGCGAATCTAGAAAATTAAAACAACTACTTTGTATAACAGTTTTTTTAGTTAAAATGTTTTTATTTAAATAATAATAAAAGAAATAAATTTTATAGCATAAATTTTTATTCATTTGGCGCAATTTTTTGATATCATTATTTTTCTAGGAAATTTTTTTTATAAATACATATAACAGTTTTTTACTACCGCGTGTACTTGGCGCCTTTTTTTACCTTTTTTATTTATAACATAATTAATGATGTAACTATATATACTTGTAGAGAAACATGAAAAAATATCATTGAATACACAGTATAAAAATGTCAAAAGGCATCTTGAGGATGTCTAAAGGTCGATAAAACATCTTTAAGTCGTTTTTTAGATGTTTTTTAGAAATATGTGCTGTCTGGGTATTTTTATTGAATAATTTGTTTTTTATGAGGTTGATGAATTAATTTTTTACCATGCAATCGGAATTCTAATGAAATATGTATGGCTAGTTTGTAAAGATTATGTGTGTTCTCATATTTTGTTTTCACATATTATTAAGATAGGTAAAAAAGATAAAATAATTTTTAATACTTTTCTATTTTACAATATCTTAGATAATCTGGAAACCAATGCAATCTATAATATAATCAATTATTTATTTAATTTAATTAAATATTAACGTTGAATAAAAATATAGAGCAATAACTCACCTTCTTCTTCCCGTCTTTTAGCTTCATTTACTCTAGGTGCTATAGCCATTGAAAACTGATGGGTGTCACGGCAAAGTCCCAAAAGAAGTTTGCTCTTGTCATCGCACCCACTGTAGAGAGTGAGCTTATCTGGCTGATCAACCGCCCGGATTTCGAACTTTTTGCGCTACGTAAAAAACATAAGAAATTTTTAAGAAATGCACGCAAATAATACAAAAGAAAATTAATAAATGCAAACAATAAATATATTTTCGGTAAAGTATTTTACTAATTTGTATTATTAAATACGAATGGTGCAAAGAAATTTATTTTGACATATATAATTTACATCAATTTTTAGCTTTATAATTTAATATTGCAATGAATAAGCAGCGACAATGATATATTTATAGAAATATTAACTTACATCAAAGGAAAGTTTGCCGATGTTGTTCCAAGCAAAGATGCGTGGTATTTCCTCTTCAGTATAGATACGTACTCCACGGGCACAGATCGCCAGAAGTATACGTCCAGGTCCCGCCTCATTCTTGCTTCGACGCAATCGATATAGATGAGCATTGAGCGGCGCCTCCAAAAGTACTGCTTCCCGAATGTATTGTAACTCTGCCTCTTCCCTGGAAAGTCCACTGTTCTCCTTATGTTGGGTTGCGAGCGCAGCGAGCACGTTCGATTCGAGACACATCTGAGAGCGTTTGTATAACCCATGAAAAATCATAATTATAAGACCAGAAATTTCAAATTAAATTTATAATTATTTTTATTTTATAAAAATCTGAGATTATATAATCAAATATTTTTAGATATTTTATTAAATATCTTTTTTGTTTCTTAATTATAATTCCTTTTTTTATAACAAATAAAACATTAAAATTTTCAATTTACATGAGGAGGAAGGTAATCTGTGGATTTGCAGTAGCCGACAGATCCTGCATGTGGTCTATGCCGTTCCTCAGAATAATCGCCAAGATCGGCTTGGAGAGCAAGTCCTGCAAGTGCGAGCAGTGGCGTAACGATAGATGGATCGTGAAGGGGATGGTGAGGGTGGAGGCTCTCCACTCCACCACCATGTCTGACAACGTTATCACGTAATTGCAGATAATAATGATGTCTCGTCGTCTCATCGCTGAAATAGTAACGCAACTCATTAAAAATTTAATGAATAAGTGCAGACTTTTTATCATCATACACAATCAATGAATTAATGTTTATGGTTCGCCAGCTTATATCCGTGTAAAGATCAACAGAATTACGAATAAATCGCTTAGCGATTTAGTCGCTTTGCGATATTTAGATATCATGTATAATTCTTATAAAATCTTTAACCAAATAATAAAATAGCGTACGACACGCTCACGCGCCACGCACACCGTTCGCGCGCCGTCTTTGATTCATGCGTAACCTAAAGCGCTCATTAGTTAACTTAAAATTACTCTCATTTAAAAAGTATTGTTCAGACGTAATTTTGCTAGGGAAAAAAGTTGTTTCTTTTGGCACGGGCAATCACGCTGTGCATTCTGAATACGCGAATTCTGGGACACCCTGTATATAGGGGAAAGTAAAGTAAAACCTGGTAGGCGGGTCAACTCGGGTACCTTTGTTTCTTCGTGATAAGTGCTACCATCTTTGGCTAATTCGTGTTATTAGTTGTAGATTGATGCCATCATTATTTTGAGATGAACCGTGCCCACGTGCACACGGTATTTCTTTTTTGAAAAAAGTTAAAATTTTTGGGCCAAAAAAGATTGATATCGGGGCAACAATCGAGTCGTTATGGACTTTTTCTATACAGAGCATCTGCTTCAGTAAATGCAGCATTGCATTCTGTACATATTAGAGAGTACATCGCATTGGTTTTGATCGTCACTTTGTACGTCGGAATATACAGCCGTGTTCGTTATTTTCTTCGTGTTGGAGCAAAACCGGGTACTTACACACCTTATGTAATTAAAAGAGGAATGGTATCCTGACTTTGTCCTACCACAAAAAGCAGTTGGAAATGAAAACTATTACTCATTGTCAGAAAAAACCACTAAAAAAAAAGCTTTTTAAGACCCCTAAAGTTAAAAAATTAAATAAGAAAGTCCTGCAGCAATGTAGAATAAGAGAATATCTTCATTTGTGATTTTTGTCAATAGAATACATCTTTGTATTGTATTTTGATTAAAATAAATCTAGATTTTGTAATTGCACGGTGTTTTACATATTTTCAGATGGGTATCCGGTTTTACCCTACCGGTAGAGCAAAACCGGGTATTTTAATTTTTCCAAAAAATCTTGTTATCCTTGGCAACTAAATTTTTTTTTTAGCAACTGGCCTCATTTTCTCATAGTTTAAGGTCCACTAAAAACTACTAACGGTCAACAAAATTTTTTTTACTCTGCTTTTTTTGTAGGAAGACAAATTAAAAAAAGTACCCGGTTTTACCCTATTTTCTCCTATATGTTCAAAGAATTATATGCAAAATATATTGTAAAATCTTATTTAATGAAATTATAACCGTTTCAGAAGATCACAAGCGTGTACAATGTTTTGAATTTTTAAGCGCAGGACTAATTATTGTAAATACGATAACGTTTCTATTATTATAGTGGAAATCAGTGTACAAGGATCGATTACGAAACTTCTCTTTAAGGTAGTTGTCTCGCAAATCGCAATTAATAAGAAAAGTTTTAAAATTTAACTATGCGTTAATAAATGTGTTATCTACACGTTTGTACAATTTAAAAACAATTGACCGTCCCGAATGCGAGATATTCACTATCAAAAATTATATTTTTTCCATGCATTGCATACACGAAGCGAAAATCTCGTATTTTGAATAATTAGAACAAACAACAAGAAAGTGATGATAAACCGATATATATAATAAAAAGACACTTTAGGAATACTAGTAAAAAATTGAAATTATTGACTGTTTCATTTTAAAAATACAATAATAAAAGAATCTCGGTTTTTACGATTTTTCGACGTAGAGAAGCGATTGAAAGCGGTGAACGGTGACAACTTGGCAACAGCGTACAGAATTTCAAAAAAATCGGGGGTGAGTACTTTTCGGAACTACACCCCCATTTTCTCTTAAAAAATGACTTTCTTGTAGGAGTCGCCAAAATTCCTTTTAGGATCTTTCATTTCAACCTGAAAGAAAGCTTTTCACAAAGTTTCATCAAAATCGGAGACGGGACCTTTTCGGTCCCGTTGAACTCCACCCAAGTTGCCAATCAGATGCCGTCTTTGGCCCTGTACTCGGCAACAGCCCTCATCACTAACGCGCAGTCTATTGTATATGGTCGCAGTCTATGGTATATAGTCTAAGGTTTTAACATTCATTCAGAGTAAAAATTTTAGATTGTACTGTCGCGAGAAAACTACCTTAAATACATATTTTTTTATTGTTATTCGAAAGCAAATCGGAACTTTCGAGATGTCTGTTTTTTTCTACGATAATCCGGTCGATCGAAAAACAATAATGTTTTTGAAACAGAAGCAATATATTTTGATTGACGATTGTTATTTTGCTATTTGATTGTTGTTTATTGTTAAACCTGTAGTTCGAAATGATATATTGATATTATTATGTCACGTCAGTATGACATAAGATTTAGGACCCACAGTCAGTTGTACAGTCAGTTTCACATTGATATTATATAATTGTGTATTTATACAGAGTGTCCGAAAGCACCCTTGACAACGCTCATGAGCAGGTAGAGCACAGTAAACTGAACAGAAAAGTCCTGTACCATTTTTTTCTATAACGCTTAATAAAGGAGTTATTATTGAATAAAGTCTGGCCAATCAGCGCCGACTTTTAGCCGGACGCACGTCGATGAGCTGCCCGCCTGGTAGTGTGCGCCGCCGTAGCGACGGAGCGCTCACGCACACTATCAGGTGCGCGGCTAAAGGTCAGCGCTGGCCAGACTTTACTCAATAATAACTTCTTTATTAAGCGTTATAGAAAAAAATGTTACAGAACTTTACTGTTCAGTTTACTGTGCTCTACCTGCTCACGAGCGTTGTCAAAGGTGCTTTCGAACACCCTGTATAATGTTTGGAATATATTAAAATTAAACTAGGTTCTAATTAATTTAGTTAATTATTTGTTTCTATATTTACTAATTAATCCCATTTTTATTAATATTACAATTTTATTATTATCTTACAAGTAATTGTTTATTGCAGTCATATAACATGAAAGTAACAAATAATATAACATAAGTTACATATGTAATATAAAACTTGTGATATATTACATATGTTTTTGTGCAACATTATAAATTACTGCATATTGTAATATTGGATTAGTTCGGTTGCTTAGCGCGATGTGAGACACTGTGCGCTATCTATCTCGTATTCAAGTTTTTTTCATCAAAATATATAAAGCCTACAAAGCATAGCTAATAACATTGAAAATGTAGTACATTTTCCTATCAGTTTAACTTCTGATACAATACCAACACGAAGGATTATTTAGATCTTAAACTAATTGTTCAAAAATAGGGACAAATGAGTATTCAAATGAGTGGAAATCGCCCGTCTTTTACATTTACTTCAGATGTAAAATAGGAATTTAATTTCCATATAACTAAAATCTTGAATTATTTAAATTTTATTATTTATCTATTACGTTATTCATCAAAATTTCAACTTTATTTTAACATTTGGTTTTCGACATTAGTTCGATGTCACATCAACTATACATTTCTGACTGGATAAGTGAGGAAGCTGGAAAATAAGAGCCGAAGCGCGGTTAGTACGCATTGTTTAATTTCATTGACAGATATGCATTAAATATGTATGTTTCGGACCGTTTTTTGACCCATTTTCAGCATAGATAAAACAAAAATATACAAACAGTATTCAACCTTCAATGGACAAAAACCCAATTTTCACTTAAACCGATTGATACCAAACCAAATATGATTCCGGTTAAAATTAACCTCAACCTTTCCTCATTCACTAGAGAACCTATCCTTTCGGCTCTCAATACAGTTGATAAATGGTTTATTAATCTTATTTCCACTGATATCCCCCAAAATGTCCAAAATTTATTACAACTTGGTAATAATTTTGGTAAATATGCATAAAAGGTCACACCTCACCGATTTAATCGCCACTTAGATATGTTGTAGGAGGGAGTGTTCTGAGTAATTCCCCGCAAGAATCAAATGGCGGTCGGAATTGGTTTAGGAGATATAACAAATTAAAGTTTCGGCCTTAACTATCTTCAACTCGTTTTATCCAAAACTTCAGTTTAGTATAAAAGAAGGAGTGGGCAACAAACTTAATTTCCTTGATGCCACGATAATTGTGAATAATAATTGTGAAGAAATCGACTGGTATCATAAACCTACTTTTTCTGGAAGATATCTAAATTTTTAATCTAATCATCCACACTATGCCATAAGAGAGAAACTATCATTGATTTGATGGATCAAATCTTTTTATTATCACCTGAGATTATACCAGAAATATTTGGAATTGATAATCCACATCTTCCTACAACAGATATTCCTTGGTTTACATTTTCAATGTGATTCGTGAACGTTCAAAACTCTTATTTATAAAAAATCAAAGAGCTGTAATCAGAGAAAATTAGCAACCAGAGGAATCGTATTCATTCTTTAC